AGATTATCCGGTGTACTTTCTAGGGTTGGAAAGTGTCGGCAGAAGAGAATCTAAGAGGGCTTGGCGTGTAGCGACTCATGTCAATGGAGGATAGCTGGAGATGCTGAAGGAATGTTTCCAAACCAGAACGCGACAAGGGAAGTAATTCCCCTCACAAGACGACAGGGCAGCTCGAGGACGAAACCAGTCACCTCGTACCACATCAGCAGCATGCCCCCACATGGGTGCACGTGGTCTTGTCCCTCTTAACCTAGTATAAATACTCATGTAAACCTCAGAAAGAGGGATCCGAATTGATCCCCTCTAAACTCCCTTGTAAAGCACCCGTGCATTCTCCGTTATAATATAAATTGGGCTACAGGTGTTCCACCTAAAGTCCTACCGGTCAATCTGCGTGTTTTTATCTTTCTTACTTTACCAAATCAAACAAACTATTCTAGACTCGGTCTAGTATAGTTTGACCGGTCGAGTAATTTTCACCATCACAAACGATAGAAAGACATGGGGATGTGAGTTTTCTCCTCCCTAATTATCTTTCCCTTCACTCTCTCTCCATCCAAATACAAGGTTAGAGTCCCTACACTCCTTCCCTAGGAAGAGTGAAAGAGGTAAATCGTAAGATGTATCTTAACTCGCCAAGAAAACAAAATTTTTGTCGTGGCTAAACACACATACTAAGGACCGGATTCAAAAAGTCGCCTCTAAACTTTGAGCCTCCACCTTTTAAGGCAGCGTTTTGTCCAACTTATTTTTTTTATTACTTATTCTTATTATTATCAGATCACGACAGATCAGATTTTCAAAAAAAATAATATCAAATCAAACAAATATAATGCAACCTAACACCCCACTCACCAACAAAGTTCACCAAAGGGAGAGATTGTTAGTTCCATATTGTGTTGGCATTATTTTTTGACAAACGAATAGATTTACCTAGAATTATTTTAGATATTTTATTTAGACTTAGAGTTCTAGCATGTGAAGAAAGAAAAAGAGGAAAGAGCTTGAAGAAAAAAGTCTAATCCTACTTGGTTTACTATTCTTGAGGAGGAAGACATGGTTGAGACTCCTAAGCACACTCTAACAAGTTTAATATGCTCTATATATTATCTTCACCCTCCCTTAGGGTTTTGGACGTGCAAAAACTACAAAAACCAGAATCAAATTCGATCAAAAAGAAAAACAAGGTGCAAAGTTAGACAGTGAAAAGTTTCTGGACAGCCGCACAGATTTGATCATCGCCGGAGATCCGACAGTTGGATTTTGCTGAAACTTTCAGAGGGTGTTCTCAACACATAGAGCTTCAACGTGTTAAAATTTCACGTCAATCGGAGTTACAGATATTCTGTTATCGAAGTTACAATCTACACACTGTTGCTGATTTTTTGCAGAAAACACTGCCCTGGTTTTCTCGATGGTTGGAGTACCAAATCTTGTCTGATCGTGCTGAAATTTTAGGAGGAGTCTAAGGACTCGTGGAGCTTCAATCTGAACGGTGGAGATCGAATTCCAACGGTTCAATCTTGATTTATGAGCTTCTGAATAGTCTGCAGATTTTTGTAGATCAAGGAGAGTCTTTATTTGAAGGTGTATTGGAATCTACGTCTCTTTGAGAAGGTGTAACTAGCCGTGGAGATAGACGCAAACCGAGTTTGTCGTCAAGTCATTCGTAAGTAGACAAATCAGTACATTAGAAG